CATTGATTTTGCCAGGATACATATATCGGGTTGTTTTGATTCGAAGACACTCTAGCAAAGTATGTCAGAAGAAGTTGTTGCCTGCGAAACGAAAGTGGAAGTTCACCTACTTCACATCGAAGAGGTGGGACTGGATCTGAAAGCTCCGAGACATATTCTTAACCCTTGCGGCCCTGACGGTGGCAATTACGAAGCATATAATTTAGCACAGATATCTGTGATACGACTTATTTTATTTCAACATAATTCTAATAGAGGGGGCTACAGTACCTATATAAGATGATTTATATGTATTTGAGTTATTTGTAATATAAACCGGTTTTGTTGGTCTACTTGAAGTAATGGCTGGTGAATGTGATCCTTTTTCACTTGGTAAGTAGTTGTTCTTTTGTTCTAATATTGCTATGGTGTTGAAAAAACTCCATGTAGCTGTTGGTATTGACTAACATTATAAAAGGTTTATTTAAGAATAAATTATAGTTGTTTCTGCATTTGCTAATATTTCGTTTGTTCCTATAAAAGGCGTACGCAAATGCCACCAGTAGGTGCTAACGGTTACAAAAGTGGATTAAATAGATTAGAATTGATGACAAAATTTTAAACAATGAATTCTTTTCAAATGAGGTTCCTACAATTGTATTTTACGGGAGAGGGAAAACTGAAATTGATGTGATCCTTGTCCAAGCAGAAGAAGCATTAGCTGTCCTGAATGATGACTGTTTTGATATAGAAGTTGATGGAGATCCAGATTATGAAGAGGCTGATGTGTCAAAATCAGATCAGGATAAAGTAGCATTAGAAAAAGAAGAAATTACTCAAAGGCTAAAAAAGTGAAAAAACAAAAAACTATCTGGAACACTAGAAAAATTGTACCTCCAAATGGTATTTTTGATCGAACAAGAGAAAATAATTTTAGTTACGATGAAAGGGACAGTTCAGAAGACCATTCACCATTTGAATATTTTTCGCGCTATTTTCCACCCGAAATATTCAAGGAGTTGTCAGAAAAAACGAATTTTTATTTTATTTACAAAAATGTTAAAAAGTCTCAGTACTGACAAAAATAAGATACGTCACCTGATTGCCCTGCACATGGTAATTGGAATTATTAATTTTCCGAGGCTTTATTGAGCTCCCCGTAGACAATTCCATTTGATAAAAGATATCGGTATATCCCTAAACCGATTTGAAAGTTTACGTAATTATTTACATATCTCAGATATCAACACCGACTAGAATACCAATATAAACTATATATACAACACCAATGATAAACTTTAGAAAGTGAGGAAAATAAGTACCAGCTTTGAAAAACGTTGCGAAGAATTATTGCTTGAAGAAAATAACTGCATAGATGAGGCAATTATACAATTCAAGGGGCAAGGGGCAAGGGGCAAAACAGTATATTAGAGGCAAACCAAATCCTGGAGGCATAAAAGTCTTTAATTTTTGTGGTGAATCAGGAATAATATACCGATCGGTAGTTTATCAAGGCGCAACTACATTTCCTATGTCTATAGAAATGAACAACAATGCTACAACTTCACTTGTTCTGTATTTATCACAAATATTGCCAGATAATTCAAGATATAAGCTCGGGTTGGAGTATCGTAGTGACAATCATAATAAACCTAAAAATAAGAAAATAGATTTATTGGAATTCACGTTTTACGTTACAGAAGCTTTAGCTTTCTTTAAAGCTCCACTAAGAACACCGAAAAGAGGTTGTTCTTTAAATAAGTAACCTGAAAGTACTTTTAGAGATTCCCCTGGAAATTCTTCTTATACGGTTGTAAAAGATGAACCTTCCAAACGAATGAAACAGCAACAGCCTGTCAGCGAAGTTAAATATGATAAAACTCACTGTCCAATTCCTACAAAACGTCAGGAATAGCATTGCGGTTTTCAAGGATGCAGCGAAAGATCACGCACGATGTGTGAAAAGTGTAACGTCTTTCTGTGCTTGTTGAAAGACAGAAATTGTTTCAAAGGAGATTGTTTATCATATAAGACTTCAATAAAACATCATAGATTTTTATACATACTTTTTCTGTAAATAAAATATTATACATAATTTTATGTTTATTTATGCCTTAATAACCTCCTGGTGGCAGTTGCCACCAATTTGTAAAATAAAAAGTAGGGGGTCAAAAATTTTGTAAAAAATATGTTCAGTATTATTTCGGTGTCCAACCAAAATACCAACTGAAAAATTTTATCTGTGAAAAAAAATCATTACTGTAAGGGTTAATGCAGTTATCTGAATAATAAGAGTCCTGAAATAAGTCTTTGATGCTGGCATTTATACAAAGCAACCATTATACAGTCGAGAGCAAATCAGAGATCTATAAATCTTTATTTTGCTTATTTGGAAGGGTAGTTGTGACCTCTGTTTCTAACATTACTAAGTTAACAACCGTGCTTCGGGATAGAGGGAATCCGGATTGAGTTGAATTCAAAATTTTGTATTTGTCTAGACACCACATTAGTATTTTGTTTATTAGTTTTTCTAGCAGCTTACATAAGGTGCATGCTACTGAAATAGGACGGTAAGAATTTGAATTATGCGGATATTTGTCCTGTTTCTTGATTGGTATAATGACAGATTCCCTCCATATTGAAAATTTCTTATAGGTCCATATTATGTTGTAGGTAGAGTAGAAGAAATTTGTACAGTGTAAGAATTGTGCATGTGTTTGACTAGAAATATAATAATAATATTTTATATTTCTTGTAAGCCTTTAGCCAGCAGAGACTAGATATTGAATGGTGCATATATATTAAATTTAATTAATTTTTTTAGGGAGAGTTTGAATGCTGTTGAAACTGAGATATTCAAAAAAGATGTAATTAAGATCACCCAGGATATCAAAATATTTGCAATTATCGTCTTCTATCACATTTATTTTGATTATCAGTTAAAGTGGAAACGTAGTTCTTCCATTAGTGTTTTTTACTTTGTTTTAAAATATACCTCGCTTTGGTTAAGTTTTTTTACAACAAATAAGGATTTCGTCCTTTTTTTTTTCGGCGGTACTTATGAAGAGCATCTTATATTCTTTTACAGCAGTTGTACAATGTTCATTCCACCAATGTGTTAATTTTCTTGTAGTTATTTTTTTCCTACATAAATTTCAGCGGAGGAGAATTGAATGCATTTGTTAAAATTATATTCATCATTATCTATATTTCCAGAGAAAAAAATTTGTATCATTTGGCGACGTACTTTAGTTCTGAACCTTGCCCAGTCAGCATTAAAAATCTTCAACTTTATTCCTGTTTCTTATAATTTTTCTTCATTATTTGTTTTGAGGATGGAAAAATGGTTACTATCATATAGATCATCTACAATATTCCAAAAGCATACATTTTGGAATCGCATAGACTTAAGTCAATCGCTGAGAAAGTTCCTGTTGAAATATTGAAATGCGTGTTAGAACTATTATTTAGAAAATAAGTGTCGGTAATTTTTGATACGGTTTCTACAGCTTTTCCTTTGCCCTACATGGTTTGTGAACTCCATGCAATATTGTGGGCATTAAAGTCTCCCAAAATTAAAAATGGTGCTGGAAGTTAAAACATTAAGTCTACCGTTTAGCTTCAGTACGATCGTAAGTCGGTGGGATATATCTACTGCAGATAGGCATTCTTTAAGGGCACCATATAGTCACTGCGATTGCTTCTAGGTTTTTAACTGAAGACAAATGTGTTGAATGGACGTCTTTTTCGACAAAAATTGAGGTTCCTCCACTTGCTCCTAGGCATTCTGATTTTACGTGATGATATCCTTCATAACCCCTAAAGACAATTATTATGATTTTGTTTATTATGATTGCTTGTAGGAATATTATATTTGGATTGATGTCGCTACTAAGTTGTTTCTTCTTCGGATTCTGTAGGATTCTTTTTAAGCGTCATAATTTCAATGAATAAGTGTGAAAGTTAATAGTGATTGAATTTTTCAGAATGTTGTGAATGTTCTGTTGTGTCATCATCATCAAAAGTATCAAGAGATGTTTTTGATACTAGGTTATTTGTATCTCTAATTTTAAGGGTAAAAGTGAATTGATGTCAGAAGTAATTTGTTCGACTTTTATTATTAGGTTGCTACTTGAAGAAGTGTTATAAAGAAAGCTGTTGGCGTAAAGATCCTTGATTATTTGCTATGGTGCATCTGATATTTTAGATTTTTCTATGGAATCTAGTTTTGACTTCTTCATGCTTTTTATGTTTTTTTTATTAAGTCTTAAGGAGTAGTCATCAATGACGAGGAGATATGGCTATATTCATCTCTTTCAATTCTAGCTTTTAAGAAAGAGACAGGAGACGCTATTTTTAAACTAAGATCGTTTAAAGCATTTTCTACGAGATCGTGGGGAATTAAGAGAGAGGACATTCGAAATTATAATACGTTTTGCTAGAGTAACTAATTTCCTAATGTAGGCCTAGAGCGGTTACTGTAATAGTGGGATTGTTGGTAATAAGCTGATCAACAAGTTCAACTTTACTTAGATAGGTATATGCAGATCCGGTTGTTTTAGATTCGAGATGCAAATATTATATTTTTAGGGCCAATAATATTACCAGTGGATTTTACATAGTCGAGTATTTTTAAGTCTTCTTTTGAGTGATAAATAATTGCTTGCTCCTTTTTAGAGACGGGAGGCTTGGGTCTAGATTTCATGGCAGTAACTTAAGATGTGCGTGTTAAAGATTCCGTGTTAGTGGATGTAGGCATTGATGTGGTATTAACTGTAGATTTTTTATTCATAATTTTATTGCTATTGTAGTCAAAAGCAACGAAAGGTTGATAACAAAAAACTAGATGCAGCAATGAAGAAAATATCATCAATCTGTACACAAATATGTTCACTCTTTATAGGTCAGTCTATCTATAACACATTTAAATAAGCAATAATATTTTATATTTGAGTTTTACTTTTGATATGTTGCAAAATTAGTCGATAGTGTAAGACTCGCATAAATTAATAAATACATACCTTTCTTTCTTGCGATATTTGCTTATGATTTCTACCATTTCTTTTTGCGAAATGAAGTGTTTCTTTTTTCTTCTTTTTCTCAAACTTATTATCAGTGCTACGGCTGACATGTATTTTACCAAATGTAATTTTCTGTTTAACGTTTGTAATGGGATACTTAATCTCGAACGGCTTCTTTAGGTTACGGCATGCAGATGTTTTCGCTTTTTTAGTTTTTTGTTGCACTTGGGGAAGTTGTTTGGGTTGAATTATTTGTTTTTTTCTTGGTCGCTGTTTTTGGGACCCGGTCTTATTTCTTTCGTGTAAAAATTCTTCGACTTTTATCGGAGAGAGCTGTAGATTTACACAGCTGTAATTATTAGTAACTCTCGTTTTTTGACGTTCTGTGTTTGAATATTGGTTGGTACATTCCATGGCCTAAAATAAATAAGAGTAATATCAACCTTCTTAACAATATCATTGTAATATCGTAAACTTCCGTGTATGTATATATATATATATATATATATATATATATATATATATATATATATATATATATATATATATATATATATATATATGTTCGGATGTAGATTTCCCCAGTCAGATAAGTGAAAATCACTAAGTTCTCGGGAAGAAACGCGTTGAGAATTTAATGCTCGACGTTTCGGCACCCATTTTGGAGCCATTTTCAAGATGGAGACGGTTCCGTTTGAGTTCGGCGTCTCAATCTGCCCACTCCCCTCACTCGTGATGTACCAGTATCGTGTTCTGTATAAATACAAGAACCGTCAAACGGCACTGAGGTTTCAATCTGCCTACTCCTCAATGTCGAGTGACTCGTCGATATATGGATTCTATTATTACGTGATTTTCGTCATACTCTTTCGATCAATTGCTGCGGACGAATAAAATCATCATATTTTTGGTGGCATGTAAAGATGCTCCAATTGTCTACTCACATGCGAGTAATACGCACCGCAAATAAAAACATCAGAAACAGTAAATTGATTATTAAATAATTGGCGATATAATGGTACATTGAATAAAAAAATATATTATCTTTTAAAATAGTCTACTACTAACTGTAGAAGGTTCTAGAACTAATTTTAAGCCAGATATGCTTCTAAAAAGTATTCTACTTTTAACGATTTTGTGGGGAGAGGGGATGGAAAACATCGATTTACCAAAAATCTATACGCCATAGAAAAAATGTTTCAAAGAAGAAATGTAACTGATATACTTTTAAACAAAAATATCTATAGCAGTTTTTGTGTAGAATAAACCGTTCTGTATGAAATAACGCTTCAAGCGTTGTTCGTTCTAAAGAGAACCTGAGATAGCTGAAAGAACGGTTCGTTCTACAGAAAAAGTGCTAATAAACATTTTTGTTCAAAATTATCTGTTACATTTCCTGTTTGAAACAGTTCTGTTCTGCAGCATATAGATTTGTGGCAAATCGATGTTTTAGGGGGAAGCTCGGGGATAGGATTGACAAATTTTTTGCATCTTATTTGGAGTTTAAAAATTGACATTCTCAGCAAAATTCAGCTTCTTAAGTCACTGTGAATTCTAAAGACTTGCACCAAACGTAATTTTGAAGAAGAAGAGAAAAGTTTTTTTCTGTCAAGCAATGACTATACATACCCTCGTGAAAAAAAGTTATAAGGCAAAAAAGAAAAATCGAGTATGTTCTTGTTCTCTTTTTGCTTTGTTTCTTGAATATATTTTTGTAAAAAAATAATTTTTTAATTTAACCCGTAACCACAGACGCGGAGTCAATTTGACTCATTGCAAGTACGTAGTGATGAGTTTCGAGATTTCCCCCACTCTATATGGCCAGGCGTAGATGTACCTTTTCAACGATCAGTATTCAACGGTTAGTGAGACGGCTGTGTCGTTTGTATATGTTATTTGCATTTTATTACGACTTCAGTTTTCGACGGAGTCAAAAAGACTACAGGTCTGTGATAACGTTATATTTCTTGTTTCCATATTTTATAAATCTGCTCGGTTTATTTTAGGTTTTAGTAATGGATTTCGAAAGTAAAGGTGGTCCATCAAAAAGAATCAGATATGGCGATGCAAACTATGAAGAAACTTTGCTGAAATGGGCGGATGAGGTCGATGAAAACGAGAGCGATGCTGATTCAGATTCCGAATTTATTTATAGCGGTCATGAAAGCGATTCGGAGCAAGAAATGGAGGATAATTGTGAAAGACTTTCTAGTGAAGATGAAGGCGTAATAGAAAAAGGTGAGCCATCGCATGAAGTTTCTGTGGAAAACTATTTTTACGGAAAAAACCGTTTCAAATGGTCCAAGATATCCCCGTATTCTAAAAATACACGCACTTTGCAACATAATATTGTAATTAAGTGTCCGGGTATAAAAATTACAAAAATTCATAAAGCTGATCCAGAAGAAATTTGGAATGTGTTTTTTGATAACCGCATTATTCACATTATTCTTGAATACTCAAATTTACGCCTGGCAAAATTGAGGGAGAAATATCAAAACAAAAATTCAAGTGATATTCGGGATTTAGATATTGTTGAGCTGAAGGCTTTTATTGGAATGCTTTTGCTTACAGCTATCTTCAAATCTAATCACGAAGATATTCGTTCAATTTTTGCTACTGATGGATCGGGCAGAGATATATTTAGATGTGTGATGAACTCGAATCGTTTTGCTGTCATACTCTCATGCTTACGATTCGATGACCCAGAAACTAGACTCGCACGAAAAAAGGATGATCCTTTAGCTCCAATATCCGAGATATTCAACGCTTTCGTTAAGAATTCCCAAAGCGCTTACACTCTAGGTACAAACACATGTATTGATGAAATGTTAATTTCATTCCGAGGACGGTCAAGGTTTAAGATGTACATGCCAGCAAAGCCTTGTAAATATGGGTTGAAAATGATGGCGTTGACAGATGCTAGAACTGGATATTTATATAATGCATATATATATTGTGGTAAAGATTCAGATGGGTTCGATTTGCCAGAAAATGAAAAAAAATATTCTAAGCCTACGCAAGCCGTTCTCAAACTTGCTAAGCCAATTTTCGGCACGCACAGGAACATAACCGCTGATAATTGGTTTAGTTCCATAGAGTTAGTGAATTTATTAAAATCAAAAGGTCTAACATATTTTGGAACATTAAAAAAAAATAAGCGTGAAATTCCAGTCAGCTTTTTACCAAAAAAAGAAAGATCTGCAGGTTCTAATTTGTACGGTTTTACCAGTGACATTACCCTACTTTCTCACGTTCCAAAGAAGCACAAGGCCGTTTTGTTAGTCTCATCAATGCACCATGATGAAGGAAACATAGGAGAATCGGGCAAACCGGAAATAATCGACTTCTACAATCTAACAAAAGGGGGAGTGGATAGCTTGGATGAAAAGTGTAGTGTCTATTCAACGGGTCGAAGAACGAGGCGTTGGCCAATGGCAATTTTTTATAGAATGCTGGATATTTCGACTGTTAATTCTTTTTTGGTTCATCAGTCGTGCCGAGACAATGTGGAGCTGAAACGTTTCGAATTCAATAAACAACTTGCAATGCAGCTAGTAGAACCAGAAATGAGACGTCGTTTTCAAAATATGCACATCAGTCGGGAAGTCAGAATGTGTATTGGTCGTGTTTTAAAAATAGAAATAGAATGCTCTAGTGCTAACCAGGAAGAAAAATTTGAAGTCAGAAAATACTGCAAGCGTTGCCCAGCTAAAAGAAGACGAAAAACAGCACATTTTTGCATAATTTGTAAAATTCCAATATGTATGGATTGTACCAAAAGGGTTTGTGTGGAGTGTGCACAATGAAAATATACGTTGGGAAAACTTACTGCACGTTTCCATAATATTATTTTTATGTTAATTTCTAATTAATGTAATTGTTATGTTGTATGTTTTTAACAAATTTTGAATAAAAACTGCTTAGCAAGTTTTTTTTTTAGTTAAAAATATTGCGAAAAATAATGTATCAAAATTTTTCAAAAAATGTATGCATTACATTTATTTCTCTACAACTTGATTGCGTTTCATTAAAATACATCCATAATTATATTAAACAGTAATACTTATACCCTACTTAAGCAATATAAGGTAGAGGTAAGCTTAGTTTTCCCCATAAATTTTTTTCAGTTATTTAAATATAGGAGTCATTTTGACTCAACGTCTGTGGTAATGTTCAGTTAGTTGGACGTCTGTGGTTACGGGTTAAAAGGTAAAATTTTAATAGGAAACTTTATTTTGAACAACATTTCTATACATATATACCGAATAAAACTGTCCGAAAAATTCTCCCAAATGCACCCTATTGCATGCGGACTGGTTCACGCCTTTTTCAAAAACGCACCCCTTTATTGTAGCACTCTGCAATTTTTAATATTTGAGGGTTCATTGACAAAATGAAATAATAAAACCTCTTTAACGTTGTAGTTTCTTGAACCCTATTTTTAAAGTTATACTTCTATACGCGCGGTCGACGTAGTAAATTTGCACGGGAGTGAATCTGTGAAATCATTACATGTAAGATATGAGTAAAAGATAGGCATAAGATATATTTTTTCTCTCTTTCTCTAACGAAAATAAAAATGTTCTTTTTGTATATATATTTATTATAATAAATATTATCCAGATTCAGCCATACGGCTCACACTCCCTCCAAGGAGAAAATTCACTCATCCCAGATACCTACGGTATCAAAAGGATTGAGCTCTGGTGGGACTCTTTCCATGTTATGGAGTCCTAGGTGACTTGGTACGTCGGTGTATCTCCCAAAAATTTTCGCACGCATCTGTACGTCGAAAGTAGCACAGCTTTTTGCATGATCTTATATAGATGTTCATTTAGACCCAGCTTTTTTATGTTTTCTAGGAGGTTCTTCAGAATGACTCCAGTGGTAGAAAAAATAATAGGTATCTTCTGGCTACTTTCCAGATTTCCAGATCTCTTTACTTGGCGATCTTTTCGTTGTACTTAACACGCAGATTATTGTTTTTAGGTATCGCCACATCGATTAGAGTTGTTTGTCTTGTTAGTTTATTAACTAGCACGATATCTGGTCTATTATGTGCTACAGTTTGGTCTGTGAGCACAGTGCGATCCCAGTATAGCTTGTAGTTGTTATTCTCAAGCATACTCTCAGGAACGTATAGATAATAATATAGGAGATGGTTTGTTTGTAGAAGTCCCAGTTGGATCCCAGTTGGGTAAGATGTTGGATAGTTTCTTGGGCTTGACATCCATATCGGCATTTGTCGTTTTGGACTTGAAGGTCTTTTACTAATATATTTCAGGTAATTTTTGGTTGGTATAACCTGATCCTGAATGGCCAGTAATGAACCTTCTGTTTCAGGGAACATTTTTTCTGATGTCAGCCAATAGTTCGACACTATATTGTCGACATAGTCATCTGTTGAGATAGTGTTGACATAGTGTTGTGTCATCTACTGCGCATATCGCGCGATGAAGAGTAGATGTCTCCGCCTGCACCTGAAAATAACTTTTTAAATTAGTACTCTGTTTTTCTAATTGCTCGCTTATATCAATAAGTCCTCGTCCTCCTAAATATCGCGGTAATGTCGTTCTTTCTACTGCACTTCGAGGATGGTGTTTTTGTGCCCTTGTGGGGTGTGTTCGTGTTTCTATATTGTTTCTATATCCGTTTTAGTCCACTTAATAATTCCAAATAAGTAGATAAGCGCGGAAAATGCGTAGGTGTTTAATGCCTCAAACAAATTTTTACTATTAAGATGTGAGCGGAGTAGCTGTTTTACCCTTACTTTACTCTGATGTTAATTCGATTTTCAATTGTTTATGGTTAATTTTCTGCGCTTGCTTTACTCTTAAATATTTATACATCTCATTTTTGTCCATAGCCTCGATGTTTTGGCCATTTTGCATATCGAATCCCCCGGGCTGAACCGTTCCCTTGACTATATTTAGTACATTTGTCTAACCCAAAGTGCATACTGATATATTTGAAAAAGTTTCTACAGTTTTTAGCATTTGATCTAAGTGATTTCGGGTGGTAGCCATTAGGTTCAAATCATCCATATATAACAGATGATTAAGCTTCGCCACTACAGTGTTGTTGTATTTAATGCTAAAACCTGAGTCAGTGGAGTTCAATAGTTGGGATAGGTTCATCGCTAGACAGAACCACAAGGGACTCAGCGAGTCTCCTTGGAATAGTCTGCGGGTAATTGAGATATTTTCCGTGTCAATATTGTTTTCACCAGGTATTTAGAGGTGAATTTTATTCTTTCAATCTGTCATTATATGTCTTAAAAAGGTCACTATATTATCATCGACTTTATATATTCCTAATATATCTACAAGCCATTCATGCAGCACTGAGTCAAAGGCTTTCTTATAGTCAATAAAGGCAGTGAAGAGGTTCCTTTTTTTTGGTGTATGCCTGGTTAAAAATTAATGAGCCGATAATAAGTTGTTCTTTGCAACCCATGAAGCCCTTAGCACATCCTTTCTGTTGAGGTTCTATGATATTGTTTAGTGCGCAGTGTTGGTAGATACGCTGAGCTACACAGGATGTGACCAATTTATACAGAGTTGGAAGACACGTAATTGGCTGGATCTTGTGTATTATTTTGATCCTTCGGTATTGAATAAGTTGTTCCCTGAGTTAGGAATGATGGTATTTTCTGCAGATTAGAAATAACACGATTAATTAATGTTGACAAGCACTCATGAGCACTCCAGAACTTCTTAAGCCAGAAGTTTTGAACTTGGTCTGGTCCAGGAGATTTCCAGTTATGAAGCTCTTTGATGATATTAGAGACTTCTTATGTGGTGAAGGTTGTGCGGTAGTGTTGACAGCTGTGCGTCGTATCTTCTATCCATCCAGCATTGGTATTAAGAGCAGCAGGTGTGGAAAGTTGATTTCCCCAAAACTCCTGAATGTCTTTTTATCTTGGGTATGCTTTATTGGCACTTTCCACAGTGGAGTTAAGTTTCCGATAGAACGCCTTCTCGGCATGCTGAAAAAGGGTATTGTCACATTTCCGGCTGTTACTAACCTTGTATCTCCTTAGTCGTCTTGAATAAACGAAGAGTTTTTGTTTTAATGGATCCAGGCACTGATGGACTGTGATGTTTACTGGATCATATTGCAAGTGTCTTGCAGTGCTAAGCATTATTTCATCAGCTCTTTTAATGACTTTTCTACTTGTTGTTCCTCATATATATTCTGTCATTAGACCAATGTCCCTACGCAATAATGCAATATTGTTTAGAATCGTTTCTCCCAGGGTGCAACTCTGTTGTCAGTCCTTCCGGCATTGGTACCCCGTCGTGTTCTGATCTTAAATCCCATTACATTAGCTGTTGCTGTTGTTGCACAGTAAATAAGCATATCCAAATATTTCAGCGTATTGGTGTTGCAGTTTCGCAACTATATAAACATTTGTAAATGTATTAACAGACTTTTTGATAGTTTCGATTCTCCTCGTATATTTAAACTAAGATTGACATATACAAGTGTACAGCGGTTTTTAAGGGCCAAAAAGAGATAAGGGCTAAACATTCCAACACGGCCATCTGCGAGATCACAAAGGACAATTTCCAAATGCAACATGTGTTTATAAAGTGAAAAGGAGAGTCGAGTTTTATCTTTCAAATTATATAGATGTGTATGAGTTTTGGGTTGAGAGTACCTGAAAACTCCGCATCGGGAGTGACCGAGAAAGACGTCAAATGTTTGGTTCCTGTATATACGTCGCAGAAGGCTTTTATGATAGCGGGGTGCTATCCTTTTATTGAGTAAGGAACAATACACCATTCATCTATGTTGCTTCATATATTAAAAACGTGCACTTGGTATATTTATTTGATATTTGTTTGAAACAATTAGCTCATTTGTGCCACGATCGCGATTGAACATTGTCAATTGGAAATTTGTTTCGGTTTATTTACTGTATTGTATATTTTTTTGTATTTTGTTTCTCACCGATTTTATTTCTTGTGTGTTTTGTATTAATAATTGTACTTATTCATTATTTGTATGCACCGCATTCTTAATTTGTTTTTACAAAGTTCACACATGTATTCTTATTTATGTTGATTTTTTTGTAAGATTATTAATTTGTCTTTTATCTTTTTATGTAAAGTATGTTTGCGGCTATGGTAGGTTTGTTTTTTGTTTTGCCAGTGTTCTATCCTTTAAATGGTTTTTTTGATGTTCTTTCATATTAACTAATATTTAAGTTTGTAATATATTCTTCTTCTTTTAAGTAATATATTCTTCTTTAGTTGTAATTGTATTTGGTTATGTGTATTTATGTTGAAATTTCATTGATTTTTAAAATAGAGTTTTATATAGTCCGCTGGCTTTGATTTCTCTTCTTTTATTTTAATATACATACCCAATCTGAAAGGGGCAAACCAGCGAGTTCTAGATTGAACAGAATATCATTCCCTCCCCCTTCAGGATGACCCCAATTGTTATATTGAGGTCATCGTATATGCAGAACGCAACAATGGGCTTCTGCGACGTAATTGGGTAGGACTTCAGTATTTATAGTTTGTAACAGAGCACCTAGGTTTTTAGAAGAGTTTATTTTAGTAGCATTGGTCTGCTGAGTGGATTTGTTCCATTAAATTCTTGTACAGCCCATGCCATTTCGCTTACCAGAGTATCGCGTAACTCGTTGTTGTCCTGTAGTGTATTATCAGGTTGAGTTTCTTGTATGGTAAGCTCAGGAATCTGCTTATGTATTTCATTAGGGACTTGATCTACATTTACCTCTTGGTGATTAATCTCCCGTTTAACTTCGCTTCTGATGGTATTGCGTCTAGCCTCTGGGATAAGATTGTTTCTTATACTTACCCGGTATTGATCAGCAACTCGTTGTTCAGTTACTTGAATTTCTGGGTACTCCCTGCAAAATTCGGCATATAGATTTTGTCGATACCCGATCGTTTCTTGACCGAGGTTTGTCACCTCGTAATAGAAGCGCAAAAATATTCTCATTTATGGACGCAGTCCATTTCATGCACTGCCTCGGTCGTCCCGGCACCTTCAGCGAGTGGAGCTCTTGTTGTTTGGCTCGCTTTTAGTTGTTCGTGCTGTTGTTGTTGGGCTGTAGCTGGTTGTATTACAGGGGCCCGCTTGCATAATTAATAATAATATTGTTTATGTGATATGTTTTGTTTTATTGTATTATTTATTACATGTTCACAATTATTTTAGGCTTTTGTATTTCAAAATACTAATTACAATAAATCACTGTATGACCGAGAATTGTCAATTTTGAAATGCATTAGTGTCATGTCTAATTGGCAAAATTTTTACGTGTTTGGTTTATACGCTGGTATATGTGAGTTCGAATCCCAATATGAATTCCTTTTTTTATTTTTAAAATATTTTAAAATATAACTTTTTTTGAAGTTATACTTTTATACGCGCGTTCGACGTTGGAAATTTGTGTGTATTCGTAGATTTTGAGTGAATCGGCAAAATCATTACATCTGTAAGATATACGTAAGATAGAGACAGAAGATATATTTTCTCTCTCGAGACTAAAAATGTTCCTTTTGTAAATATATTTAATATTTATTAATATTATTATCATGATAAATTACACATATGAGTAAGTAAGTTATGTGTATTATCATTTTTAAATACTTACGAATATTGAATTATATTGCAGTGTATTGTATTATATTTTTATATTAATAACAAAATAAACAATGAATTTTAGTGCAAAGTATGTGTAACAATTTTTTTGGCATTCAACTTCTTTCATACATATATGAAAATAAACATATATATTTTCATTAAAATGTTCATTGAATCCATATACCTATATTCTCAATTCTTTTTCTCTTTCTGCCCTCTCTTACCTATAGCATTACATATTTAATGATTGTTCAGATTAATTCCCATATAAATTTGTAACGACGAATGTGTATATAGAAGTAGAACTTCTATCGGCAGTCCCACTGGGTTGCCACACCCTTATTTTTAACATAATCAATAACCTAATAGATAATTAGAAAATGTTGGTATTTTGATGCTTTTCTTAAGAGAAATAGTTAAATGTAACTACAGTTTCAAATTTGTTTTTTGGTACAAAAAAAAGTTAAACGCCAAGAATATAAGAAAAACATCAAATAAACTAAAATGAGCAAGGAAAAATAATCTTTAAAATTCATGACCACAAACAAGACGAAAACAAACAAGACTAGGTCAAAGATAATAATAGAGGACAGAAAAATATATTTCATGGTCAATCTCACAGGTACCACGGTCGTAGCAACGAATATAAAACGATATAAACAATGTAAGAACAAAATGCAAATTAACATTACGAACTAAATTTACCTGTCTGTATATATCCGTAACTCTTACAAAAGGAGGAATTTGTTTTGTAGTTTTTTTGTTTATCTGGTAAAAGCCGGAAGTGAAGACATCCTTTGACGACGTACCATGTAATCTTCTTAATTGTGGAGCAGTTTTTGGTTTTTCAAAAAATATAGATTTTTTTATGGGATGGTAGTTATAGTTTCTGGTCCAAACTGCTGGAAAAGTTCTTCCTATAAATACATTTATAGGATACATTATATATATATATATATATATATATATATATATATATATATATATATATATATATATATATATATAGTGATATTTCAAGTCTTGGTGCGCCAAGCAATTAATTAGCTAATTAATTAATTAATTAATTAAAATTATTTAAATGATATGATTATGACTCTATCACACTTTTTAATTCTCTTATCTCAGGGTTAAATTCGTGCTTCAATATCTATGCTGTTACATGTGAAAGGTAAGGTCCAAAGAATACCGGAATAATAAAAAATACATAATATGATATAACACTATATATTGAAATAAAAATATTGAAATAATTCACACTCAAATGTTTTCCATAAACAATATCTCATATAATGATTCTCAAAATTTTGTTCTACGTACGTGAACCTTCAAAATTAATGGTACAAACAATATTAGTTGAAATCTCAAAATCCTAAATATTATTCTAAATCTCCTAATCAAAATATTTATATCCTTTCTAAATTAAGTGTAAAAATTGTGTTATCACTAAAAGAAAAATTGCAGAAACAAAACTATCTCTCTCTGATGATGAGTGGTCCAAATCCTTGTTCCTTGTAGACTATATTATCTACTCTCAGACGCTCCCTAGGTAATCAGCAATCTTACAACAAATTATTGCAAGTTTATCGTCCTTAATGATCTCCTTCAAATGCACGAATCGTTCAAATTATGCTAGCTTCTTCTTCTCTCAATAAACTGAATCTCTCGTTGGCCTGAGTTAAAAATGACTCTTGGAATATCTTTTCTTTACGATAAACTGAATCTCTCGTTGGCCTGAACAGTGACTCTTGGAATATAAGTAGAAAATATAACTTACAATCTTTTACTGGATCAGCTTCTGTCAGATACACTAACTACACGAAAACTCACAAACTTTTACTGCTACTGCTTCCTACCTCTGGGGAAACTACCCGAGAACAACGGCCGTTCGCCTTGCACCCTTAGAAACCAACTGATTATTTTTTCTCTCTCAAAAATCTAGCTAAACTTTCATTCCTACATACCTATCCCACCTTTTTCAATCTCCGCCAATCAAAGCTCGTCACAATTCTCCCATTTTTTCATTTCGATAACAAACAAATTTTTACCTATAATTATAAAATTTCCTAAAACTTATTTACAAATAATATTTTTCTACGATTCTTAAAAACTAACAAAAACCTCTTTCTAAAATATATTCTGTTGTCCTTAATCACTGCATTAATGTATTTGGAAAATCCGGTTCAATCGTCTTTGGATTTCACTTAAAATTATGCGGGTCACTCAAGTATATTATAACAAAGAAAATAATTTGTGCATAGCTTACATTTTGTTTAATACAGGTAATCCAAAAATTTAAAGACTTTCTTTCCTCGAAATGTCTGTTTTGTATTATCCTACTTATCTGAATTATTTTAATGTTTTTGAACTTTGAAATATTTTATACAAACCAATATTTTTCTCGATTTTACATATCATAACAAATCCCCGCCATTTGGTCTGCCGGAAACTCTTTGTTAAATTTTAAAAATGACAAAAGTTTTCCAGGATCAAATTATTTCACTATGTTATTAAAATCTACTCATGATACTGATAGATGTCGTGAATATTAAAACACCCCGTATATTGCCTGTCTTTATACGGGATTGGATATGCTTTCGATTTAAATTTTCCCAAGTTTTTAACTTTAAAAAATATGTTCATCATTTTTCTCCACTTGGCTTTCTTCAGGTATTCCCATTTCTCGTGATATTTTCCATTCTGTAGCTCTTGGTTTATTTTGCTCTGTTTATTTTTTAACCATAAATAGTTGAGAAATTTATTTTCGAAATCTGTCCAAATTTTAAACTTATCTTCTTTGCTTTCATACCATAATGCTGCTCATTCTTTCAGATGGTTTCTAATAGTTTCTTTGCAATCGTCAACATATCTCACATGTTGCAATTTGGTTTTCAAATTTTTAACAAACAGTACTGGGTGTGTTTTTCTAATATCCCCGCCAAATTGTATTTTCGCCTAGCTTGTTTCATAGGTAAACATTTCCCTTTTTTCCCCGGAATTTTGTTCCTTCTTGATTTCCTCCATTTTTCTTTCTATTTCTCGCAAGTCTTCTTGTAACGCGTTTTCAAATTTTGTTTCTAATTTTTCTAATTCCTTTTTCTGGACAGTCTTATTATTTTTCATTTTACTTTCTATTTCTTCTCTCTGCATCTCTGGTTTCCTCTCTGTTTCTTCTCTAACTTTTTCTTCATTTTCATATTTGTCCAAACGCTTTTCCATTTTCCTATCATTTTCTTCTAATTTCTGTTCTATTGCTTGTCTTGTTTCTCGTTGGTTTTCTTCCATTTTTAGTGATGTTTCTTTTTGATTTTTCGCTGCTGTTTCATTTAATGTTTGTTTTGTCTTTTCTTGGTTTCTATCCATTTTCTTTGATGTTTCATTTATTGTTTGTGAAAATTCATCCATTTTTCGTAACGTTTCTTTGTGGATTTTATCCATTTTCTCGTAATGGAGTTGCATTAGTTGAAATATTTTATCTATTTCTGATGATTCATTTCTCTCCTTAATTATTGTAACATTTCCTTCGTTATCCGATCCTTCTTCAACAATTGTTTCCTCTTCTCTGTTATCCTCCTTCCTTTCTTGCATTTTGCTTTGACTCCTTGTGGTCGACATGTTTATTTTCGTTACTGTTTTTGTCCCCGCCAAATGTGAAATTTTACAACACTCTATATGTTGCAGAACACGACAAATATTTCTCTCCAATTGTAATAAATTTTCACGACAAATATCAATTATGCAATCAGTAAAATTCAAATAATTCAAAATAAAAATCAAATGTACGATTGGTAAAGAAAATAAATTCAACTAATTCAATAGCAGTAAATATCAACTAACTACGATCAATCAATAAATCAAATTTTTATCCACTGGAAAAAATTGTCAAAATACTTTCAAATTAAAATTCCCTCAATGTTACATGTTTTTATCTCTGGATCACCTGTACTTATTCCAGATCTCTTTCCCTTCCTTCAAATGTAAAGCTGCGATATTTTCAAGCCCCACGTTTGTGAAGCCAGTTATTGTGATATTTCAAGTCTTGGTGCGCCAAGCAATTAATTAGCTAATTAATTAATTAATTAATTAAAATTATTTAAATGATATGATTATGACTCTATCACACTTTTTAATTCTCTTATCTCAGGGTTAAATTCGTGCTTCAATATCTATGCTATTACATGTGAAAGGTAAGGTCCAAAGAATACCGGAATAATAAAAAATACATAATATGATATAACACTATATATTGAAATAAAAATAATGAAATAATTCACACTCAAATGTTTTCCATAAACAATATCTCATATAATGATTCTCAAAATTTTGTTCTACGTACGTGAACCTTCAAAATTAATGGTACAAACAATATTAGTTGAAATCTCAAAATCCCAAATATTATTCTAAATCTCCCAATCAAAATATTTATATCCTTTCTAAATTAAGTGTAAAAATTGTGTTATCACTAAAAGAAAAATTGCAGAAACAAAACTATCTCTCTCTGATGATGAGTGGTCCAAATCCTTGTTCCTTGTAGACTATATTATCTACTCTCAGCTAGCTTCTTCTTCTCTCAATAAACTGAATCTCTCGTTGGCCTGAGTTAAAAATGACTTTTGGAATATCTTTTCTTTACGATAAACTGAATCTCTCGTTGGCCTGAACAGTGACTCTTGGAATATAAGTAGAAAATATAACTTACAATCTTTTACTGGATCAGCTTCTGTCAGATACACTAACTACACGAAAACTCACAAACTTTCACTGCTACTGCTTCCTACCTCTGGGAAACTACCCGAGAACAACGGCCGTTCGCCTTGCACCCTTGGAAACCAACTGATTATTTTTTCAAAAATCTAGCTAAACTTTCATTCCTACATACCTATCCCACCTTTTTCAATCTCCGCCAACCAAAGTTCGTCACAATTCTCCCACTTTTTCATTTCGATAACAAACAAATTTTTACCTATAATTATAACATTTCCTAAAACTTATTTACAAATAATATTTTTCTACGATTCTTAAAAACTAACAAAAACCTCTTTCTAAAATCTATTCTATTGTCCTTAATCACTGCATTAATGTATTTGGAAAACCCGGTTCAATTGTCTTTGGATTTCACTTAAAATTATGCGGGTCACTCAAGTATATTATAACAAAGAAAATAATTTGTGCATAGCTTACATTTTGTTTAATACAGGTAATCCAAAAATTTAAAGACTTTCCTTCTTCGAAATGTCTGTTTTGTATTATCCTACTTATCTGAATTATTTTAATGTTTTTGAACTTTGAAATATTTTACACAAACCAATATTTTTCTCGATTTTACATATCATAACAATATATATATATATATATATATATATATATATATATATATATATATATATATATATATATATATATATATATGTATGTATTAGGGTGGAGCGAAAAAGTCGAAAAAGATTTTTTCTTAATTTAGTCATGCCTAGAAAGTTGTGCATATACAAATCAAATATTTTCAGAAAATTACAAAAATATATGTCGAGTCCTTCGACCGCCCCCACCATTTTCGTTATATTTTCACTTTGAGACTGATGTGGCGGTGGAAGTTTATAAAAAGTTATTGCTTTATTTATTATAATAAATATTTTAAGTGGTCAGCGGTTTCTTTTTTTTTTTTTTTAAATGTTACGTATTAATTTACGCCAGTAGACGTTTAATAAGAGGCCGGGCCTGTATCACTGAAACTTTTTGTGACTTGCACGACAAAGACGAACTACTATTCTTTGTTTCAAGTTAAGAAAATAACATTACGCTTATGGAGATCAGTGTTGCCAAAACTCTCAGACACTCTATTTCGCACGGATGTCCAAGATATTCCCTTTGCTTAATTTTTGAATTTTCATTTTCAATTAACATTTAACTGTAAAGTCAG